TTCAAAGCACTCGACGAGGGCTAAAAAGTGACCGAGAGTGAAATTCTCTTTATATGAGCTCTATTACGCAAAAAAATTTCCTCCGACGACCCCCCTTGAAATTTTGTGAGGTGGTAGAAGAAGGCCCTGGGATGTCACAAAAAACTCGCCATGTCCTGGAAAAATCGGGAAATGGGTCAAAACTGACCAGTCGTATTTCCCTATATAATCTATGTATTTTATGGCAAAAACAGGGAAATTTTAACACAATTTTTAGGTTACTTAACGTCTGTACATCATGCTAAGTTTTTGCATACACTACTATAGATGACTAGGCCGTATGGAAAAACCGTTGGTCAGACTCAAAGCCCTTGACGAGGGCTAAAAGATGATTGTGAGTGAAATATTCTCATTATATGAGATATATATATATATTAACAAAATTGACGAACGATCTCTTTAATATTATATGACGTCGTAGACCGACCCTGGAGGGTAACAAAAAAACTTTATTCCCGTCGGAAACAGCCATTATAGTCGTTAAATATGTTCATATACCGTAATTTCTTATATAAGCATAGCAACTGTTGGTAAAAAAAAAAAGTAAACAGACATACGTCATACGTTCAGTTTTCAAGGGAGGTAACGTTTTTAAAATTATTATTTTTCAAATAAGTGTATACTATTTTAAACAGAAACAGAAAATGACTAAGTATAGAATTTGTTTTAGTACAAATTTAAGTTGTTAATTTAGTTACGTATCCTAATTAAATAAATTTATTAATTTCAAAAGGCAATGTAATATAAACTATGAGATATACTGTTCATTTAACCTTTGTAGTTCTAATTCCATTTTAGTTATAAATTGCGTACTTTCCACTATTTCTCTGAGATCGGAATTTTAATGACAAACAAAAACATCTATCTATCTATCTATCTATATACTACTAAAAGTCAAGTTTGTTTACATGTTTGAATATTTATTTGTTTGTTTGTCCGATCGAGTATTGTGATATGTTCTACTCTATCTGGAGAGCTGTAAAATAGTATGTAGGTAGAGAATAATTTTTTAATGCAGACAGACTGTTAATCACAACTTTATTTAAGGACGTTAATTAATTTATTGATTTATTCATACGTAGAGTAACCCTATTTTTTTTTTAAAGTTTAGAACGACAACTACACTCGGCGGGACCGTGACGTCACAGTTTTTTGTTTACTCTTTAGTACAATAAAATGGCGGCGTCTATCGAAGAAAATTGTGTTCCCATTCAAAAGTTAAACGCGTTCTAAATCTAATTTTCTGTCGGTCATAACTCTGCTGTATTTATTACGTTCCAACACTTATATCAATTTTCAACTGTCTTTTTTCATTTAGTTATACAATAAATTTCTCTAGATCTAAAGATCAGCTGTCGAAGGAAAGTTATGAATCTAGCCTAGATCTAGATCTAGCCTAGATCTAGATCACTAGACTCAATGTAAATTCTAGATCTAGACTTAATGTAAATTCTACATCTAGAATCTATTTCAGGCCTTAATACATCTAGAATCTAGTTCAGGCCTTAATTATTTTATATAAATCTTTGTTTGGCTAATTTAAGATAAAATTTAATTTGAAAGTTACTACTACTAGACTTAGATCTAGATCTATGCGCGTAAATCAAGTTGCATAAGGAGATTCAAAGTATAGTATAAAAATTCATTTGTGACGTCACGAGTAAATAGCTAAGTTGGTAGCGTAGTCCGCTCTCATGCGGGTGGCACAGGTTCTAGACCAATATGTCAATGATATTTTTTTTTCAATTTTTTTTTAGATGTGAATGATAAAGTTGCCTATCTGAACTTGGCAGGATACAGGGCAGGTGAAGTAGAGTTCATCTGTTTCTTTGTCCTAAGCATATGAAAGGATAGTGTGGTCAGAGACATGCTCGGCTGGAATCGTTTTTTAAAAGATAAAAACATGTTGTCTGACACTTGGCGGGACACTGAGCAGGTGAAGTAGAGTTGAGTAGGTCACATGTGACGTCAGTATATGAAGGGATAGTCCGAAAACGGTGTTTTCGGTGTTTTTAAAAGATAAGAAACATATGTTTGAATGTGGGGTCTGTTTTTTGTGACGCTAAGTGACACTGCAGTAGCGTAGCGAGGAGGTAGGGGGCGGGAGGGGAGGCGGGGGTGGAGGGGGGAAGGGGGGGGGGCGGGGGGACATATGTTGGGGCGCCAAAATGGTTTGGAAAAATAAATTGAAAGGTTGAGGGGGGTTCAAATCGAAAGTTTGAGTGGGGGGGTGCACATCAAAAGTTTGAGGGGGGGGGGTTGAAAATCAAAATCTTTGGGGGGGGGGGGTAAAATCGAACAGTTTGTCCCCGGGCGCCGGGAAGGGTCGCTATGCCTCTGAGTGACAGACGTGATGTTTTTTTGATGGATGACCCCCGAAACCCAGAGTTATCCAACGGATGACGGGTATTCTAGTATTTTCTAAAGTTAGCATTACTGTTTATATTAAAGCACTCCACACTCAATCCATCGCTAAATAATTAAGTATTCAAATTCTCAAATGTTTTTTTTAAAAACCTAAGCGAAGCTAGGCAGTATGCCTAGTATGTTTATAATAATGTTTTCGTTTGGGTTTGTGGTTGAGGTTTTCGTTAAGGTTAGTGTTATAGGCCTATATATAAGTGGAGTACGCTTGGGTGGGGGGGAGTAGGTGGAGCAGCCGCTCCGCCTACGACCATTTTAATGATAGTGGCGCCTTTTCCGGAGATTAATTGAATACAATTTAAAACAAGTTCTGCAATACAAACAAAAAACCAAAAAGCAAACACATTATTGAAACTATGAATAAAAAACTGCCATGTTATGTACCCTAAATATCATAATTTTTAATAACACTTTACAGGTAAATCTATAGCCTACATTTTGGCTTACTTATCGGCGCCTAGATCAGCGTCAAGCATGTACTAGGCGCTTTTTTATTCATCCTAATGTCTGTCCACTTTAGCACCTGTACAATTGCTGTTTGTGTTATTCCCGCTGGATATAGACCGTCAACTACCTACAGATCGACCTTATCTAAGTCTTTGCTTTAGTTGTCGGCTCAATTCAGCAATCCCCTTTTTATACGGGAGGCCTATTTACTTTGGTTTTAAAGATCAGTCTAGAACGCAGGGTAATTGTTTACCTAAAGTGTGCCCCGTAGAATACAATTTTGCTTATCTTTGATTTGTCAATTCTACGAAATTCTCCTAAGGTATTTTGTACATATGAACATATATTTAGATAGTGTTAAAAACTTTATGAAATATATGGGGGAAGGGGGAATGAAGCTGAATAAATGTACAGAAAAATAAACACATTCAAATACAACTTCAGGAACGTTTGTATGAGTTAAGATGATCAGCACGGACTCAACGAAAATATACTTAAATATCTCGGGTTAAATATAGTTAAAACAATATAAAAACACCGTAGATAAGAGTAAAACTGCCTCCAAAAGATGAACAAGCAAGCTTCAAATCAGTGTTTCTTCCAGACTTTTAACTCCGGGGGGCACTTGAAATTTTCCTTTTTCGGCGACGGGGGGGGGGGGGGGACACGGGACACTGGTTCGGGGGTTGGTAGACTTTCTTTTTCTATCTCCCGCGAAGAGATGTCTGGAAGAAACCAGGGGCGGAAAGACAGTGCCGCCAGACCCCGCAATACGGGGGGCCCACGCCGTTTAGGGGGCCCACCGCCGCCCATAATCATTTTTTTATAGTTAAAATTAATTTTCTTGCAATTTTGACATGATGGTTGTTTTGAAAAAAGAATACTGTAGCTGAGGTTGGAGTATCTTTATTCTATAGACACCATCCCACGCTCTTGTATATTCTTTTTCTTACAATCAAACACACGCTGTTGTCAGCAAAATTCTTTTGAAAAAACATTAATTGCGCGAGAGGCCGCTAGATATTGATACGGCTTTTTGAGACCATCCCAATTTTGGTAATGATGGATAAAAGCACATCGGTGCTTTGTTGTCCCTTTTAAGTTCCTTTCTCAGACCTCCCCTCCCGCTCTTAGCCTTACAAGAAGCGAATAAATAGCGCCTCAACAACTAAGCTGGCTCGTAGTGATGGTAGTGTTGACAAACTAGCGCTCCAACAATAAAGATCCAAGAAATAAAGTGCCGAAATTGTTTACGTTTAACAACCACTGTTCTAGAAAACAAGGCAAACGTCTAAAATAAATACACGCTTAATAGCGTGTTATATATATATATATATATATATATATATATATATATATATATATATATATATATATATATATATATATATATATATATATATATATATATATATATATATATATATATATATATATATATATATATATATTCGTTTTATCACTGGCACCTTGATAGTGGTTTTGTAAATAACAAACAGATAACAGATCTAATACTGTAGTGATCCTAATATATAAAAAAAACCCTGCGCACTTCTCTCTCTCTCTCTCTTTCTCTCTCTTTCTCTCTCTCTCTCTCTCTCTCTCTCTCTCTGCACACCCCATGCGAATGGCTATCTCTGTATCTGTCAATGATCGGATCACTGAGTAACTAATAGATATACCCGCACTTCCTGTGTGGATCAGCCGACTAACTCAATGATAATTGCTCCGACTTTTGAATCTATAAATAGAATAACAAAAGGAAGGAAACGAAATTTTAAACTGATTTCCGCCATTACAAAAATAACATGAAACCTACAGTTCACGACACATCGCATAGGAATTTAAAATAAATTTTAGGCCTATAGGTTTAATACATATTTCTTAGAATATAGAAATTTAGATCTAGTGTTCTGGTTAGTAGTTATTTCATGTTTATTAGAATATAGTCTAGATTCTAGAATCTAATCATACGGCTGCATAAAAAGAAAACCCATCTAGTATTCTAGATCTAGAGAAGCGGAGGTAAGAAGGTTAAATTAGTAATTTACATGATTTTTATTGTAGTTTCACTGTTTGCTAGGCCCAATTATTAAATCTTTAGATCAGAGGTCCAGCTTGATCATGTGTGGTATCTATTGTGGTGCATTGGAATGAAAAGCCCACATACTTAAATATAGAATCTAGTAGGCCTATACTATAACTGTACTGCCCTATACTTTAAATTTGTTACCACAAGAAAAAAGCCTATTTACTATTATTAGTTATAATTAAATTAAATTGAAATATTTGTTTATCTTTATAGTTTATAGTGAATGCATGCTAATGAGCATTATTCAAGCTGCTGTTATATTTAGGCTTATAGGCCTATATACTCTATAGCTTAGGCTATATACTATAGACTATATATTATATACCAATATTGTGCATAAAACTTAAAGCATGTAAGCATACACAATAATAATTATCATTAGACCTATAGTAACTAAGACTCATACTATTTAGTACTACTTTAATACTACCTTTAAACTATTAGGCATAATGAAATAATGATTAATAATTTCAGTGTTTTCCGCACTCAAGAGGAAGGAGGTTGCAGGGAACTTAGAGACTAATCTTTGCCAACATACTGGATTTCTGGTGATGACAATAGGAGCAAATAGTATGCGGCTCAGTTAATACTAAAAACAATTGATTTTAGTAATTAGTGGTAAGCTCTTTTTTAAAATAATATATTATAACATGGTATCGCAAAGGTTCAGGTTGTCCGATAAATGATAATTAGAGTCAGGTTTAGGACTATAGTTTAATGCTCGGTTAGTAATATGCATCAGGTTGGGAAAGACATAGAAATGGAAATACATAGAATTTAATGTGTTCATTCGCAAACGTTACTATTTAAAAACTTTTAGGCCTGTTATTTATTGCTGAATAATAAAATCACTATACTTATCCACTATATTATGTTTAAATAAAGTGAGTTTAGATCAGTCGAGTAAATAAATTTAATAGCAAGTCATAACTAAAATTTACAATGAATATATATATATATATATATATATATATATATATATATATATATATATATATATATATATATATATATATATATATATATATATATATATATATATATATATATATATATATATATATATATATATATATATATATATATATTGCTATTTTATAAAAGTATGTAAATCACAGAACAAACATTACTTTGTATTTTGTCTACAACTTAACAAAAATGCTACTACTTTGATGGATTGCACTAAATAGGGGTTAGCTTTAATTTAATAATTTGTGAGATATTCTTGCTAATCTATGTGTAAATTGCTTTTCAGGACTATGAGTGTGTGTTTGGCCATCCAGATTTCATAACTACAACTGATGTTCAATTACAAGGGATATTAATCAGTCTCCGTGGACTATACACTGTGCCTAGTTTCATCCTCAGGTAACTGTACTATAGGCATAACCCATTTTTAAAGTAATTATTATAGCAAGAGATAGCATTATATGTTAAAATAAATATAATGGATTTTAATCCAAAATATTTTATTAATTATTGTCTTTTCTTAAATTCTAATAAATCAGTGAGTTGTACAACATAGAGGGTATTATATTTGAATGATAATTGAAACACATATTGTTATAGAGCTCAAAACTATGTACTTATCTAATATAATTAATATACTGAAACAGTTTTATTGAAGCATATTATTTCATATTTTACCACACAGAGACTGATGTGTAAGCTTACAGTAAAGACATCAAATCAAAGTATCAGCTATCAAGAGGGTAAATATTGATAGTCTACTTCATTAATCTTCAATATGAATGAACACAATTTTAAATCTATAATATTTGCTGATAATGTTTGTTTCTTGTTATTCATCATGTTCAGTGCTTTATCTTTTCAAAGTAATTAGTTATAGTAAAGAAATAGTAGAGATAGTAATATAAATTTGTAATGTATTTCTCTTGCTAATTCCACAAAAGAATATTTCAAAATATTTTGTCTTTATTTCTTTTACAGAAGAACATTCAAAATCATATTGTGATACACAAATCAAGCAAGTCTATAACCAGCAATATGATACAGGCCAAGAAAAAGCTGGATATTTGATTGGAAGGGTGACACAAAAAAGATGGGTTATCACTAGGGAAACAAGCTCGGAATACAGTTCACTGTTGGGACATCAAGCCAAATACTTCTAAACTTATTTGAATCATTTTTGCTGTTTATTATAATTCATCCAATTGTCTTATTAAATATATAAATTTATATATATACACAATTCCTAATATAGAATTTCTAAAAATGTTTTATTATAATATTTAAAAATGAAACAAACATGTTCCCAGAACACAGCCAAATAATGGCAACATGTTCCCAGAACACAGCCAAACAATGTCAACATGTTCCATGAACTCACAAAATGGCAACATGTTCCCAGAACACACAAAATGTCATTATGTGCCCAGAACACACAAAATGGCAACATGTTCCCAGAACACACAAAATGGCAACATGTGCCGAGAACACAAAAAATGACAACATGTGCCGTTAACAATACTTCACTTTTTCCTTAACAATTTTACAAGCAGGTAATAAAGCCATAAATCTTTACTGTGGATATAGCCAATAAATAGGGTAACCTTCACTTTAAGCAATTTGTAGTTTTCAATGCCTGTCCCATGCATAGTATTTAGCCTAGTGTTTTGGGCCTTGCTTCATTTACTCAATAAATTATATAGGCATGAGAATTTTCATTTTAATCTGCAAAAGCTACATTCTGTACATTATTATTTTCAAACTACATCATATATTTTTCTCCTCTCTGATAAAAAATATTCCTCATATTGTTTGTGTCAAGTATTTTATTTTTATCTAAGCAATGCTATATTCCTATTTTATAATAATTACTTTTATACAAATTCTTTTGAAAACTGTTCTTTATTGATTTGTATCATTTTCTTTATTTCTGAAAAATAAAACTTTGTTTGGGAATCCTTTTTTTGTTTCTGTACAAATTAATAAACATAAATACATACCAGGCTTAATATCCAGCAACATTAAACAATTAAGTAGGGCCTAATGTTAGTAATGGTAAATTTTATACTAATTAATGTGATTTCTCTTGGCCACCTTGTTCTGAATACCTTCAACTGTGTCAATGTTGCTACCAACTCCAATAATTAAAACTGAAGTCATTTACTATGATGTAAAACTTGGGTGAAATCCAAATCCACCCAGTTGCCGGGGGCAAGGTACCAAACATGATGTCCAGTAGAGGGTTAAGAAAGTATCATTATTAAATCACTATTAAACCCCTCCTCGCCTACGCCATTGCTTGTACGCATATGGAAGTTATCGGAATTTACTGTATTGCTTATAAGTCGAAAATGCGAAAAAGACACGTTTAACATTACTAGTTTGAAGAATAACATTCATGTTAGCCGAAACAGGTGTATTCTAAAGTTGTTTAAATTCATTTTATTGTTCATTACGATTATGTTGTCGTAAAATATAGGCCTATTTCAAAAAAGCATAACTAAAAAGTGTTTTAACGCATTTTCTTCTTAGAAAAGCCTCACATGCATGATATCATTAACATTACGGCAAATCAAACCCTTGAAGAAGCCCCATCAACCATTCAATTATTACGATGGGCAACAAATAAAACGCCCGCATCAAGGTACAGTCCTTATGCTATCGACATTAGCTCAACCCCGGCAACTAACGTGTCCCAAAACCAAGAATTGAAATCTTGACCCATTATTCTGATTAATTAGTGGTTAAACATCTTTAGGCATCTGAAAACGTTAGTTTTTAATCTAGTGTACTCAAAAAGGAAGAACATAAAGCTTTATGCCGCCTTAAAAACCCAATCCCATGTTACGCAAGGCGTCGATAGAGAAAGAATAAGGCTTTGAGTCAGAACAGGCAAAGGCTTAGATAACTGCCAAAATACATAATCTGTAGACCTCACAAGTCTAGACGATATATTTGTGCCTCTGTTTTTAGACTTTCAGAACAAATGCATGACTGTGATGTGGTCAGTAGGCACATAAAAGAGAAAAGTAGTTTTAATCTAGAGACTTCAAACATTTCTGAAGGACCGAATTTGAACTTGTAGGCGGTGGTGTCGATGCCAAAGTTTAGCGTCGTCCGCAAAGATAAGCTATCGTTATATCATCTCTATGCCCATATTGTGACAGATATTTACAAATGTGTCTAATATAGGACAGAATACATAGCTACTCAATAGAGATAAGCGCAATCATTTGTCCACGACTTAAGAAACCACTGTACTGCAAAGCCCACCTAAATGGAAAATGTCTTAGGCAGAGTTTCTTCCAGGCATCTCTTCGGGGGGGGGGGGGGGGGGGCCTTCGCTCCCCCGAAATTTTTTTTACCGCCCCCCCCCCCCCCGAACGAAATGAAATTTATATAATTTATATAGAAAATATATACTTTTAACAGTGTCCGCCCCCCCCCGGGAAGAAAGTCTACCGCCCTCCCCCCCCCCGAAGAAAGTCTACCGCCCCCCGGAGAAAAAAGTCTGGAAGAAACACTGAGTCTTAGATGTGTGTTTTAATACAAATGTGTACCTCGTCGCGAGTTAGGACCTGTAGGTAGTCCATGTAGATCCCCCCCCCACCCCCCGAAGAAAGTCTATCGACACCCCCCCCCCCCACCCCCGAACGAAACGGAATTTATATAGAAAAAAATATACTTTTAACAGTGTCCGCACGCCCACCCCGCGGGAAAGATTTCGCGAGGGCGGCGCCCTAGCAGGAAGCAGAGGTGTAGCAACCTATTCCGGCGCCCGGTGCGAACTATCACTGTTGTGCCAACCCTATTCAAACGCTGGCAAAAAGGCGCCCATCCCTACATACACTTCCCTATATAAAATAATTGAGGATATCAGTCATGGATAAATCTGTTTTCTTAAATTTTACTGAAGAATGAGGATTTTAAATAAAATGTCTACCCCTTTTGGCGCCCCATTCGATCTGGGGTCTCTGACAGGAAGCAATGCAATTTTTCTCCATAAAAATAAAAGCCAGATGCAATTTGACACTGTTCGTACGAGAGTCATAAAATTTTGGGGAGTTGGTGAAAAGGGTTTCGAGAAAGAAAAAAATTCTTAAGTGTGGCACCCTGGGAGGATTCGATTTTTCTCATTATACGATTATGAGCTCAGAATCCAGAGGGGAATCCAGAGGGGCTATCTCATCAATTGCGGTCATAGGTAATACTAGATTCAGCAGAGGCGTAGCGAGGGGGGGCGGGGGGTACATATGTCCCCGGGCGCCAACCCTAGGGGCGCCAAAATGGGTGGGAAAAATTTAAAAGCTCATTTTAGCTACAGTTTTGCATTATAAATATTTAAAAAATACGGGGGGGGGGACGCCAAATTGAAAGTTTGTCTCCGGCGGGAGGGGGGGGGGGGCGTCAAATTGAAAATTTGTCCCCAGGTGCCAGGAATGGTGCTACGCCTCTGAGATTCAGTGATAAAACTACACCAGGTTCATCCGCCAGCTCCCTGGCGGTTGAGTGGCCCAGAGCGGCCAAGACCAACCTCGGGCGACACTACGATTTAGATGGGCTACTATAAATGTTCACTAAGTAGAATAATGAGCGCCCGCCGGCGCCCTGGCAGTTGGCGACAGCAAGCGCCCCGGGCTCTACAGAGAGTGCCTCTTTAAAGAGCACCCTACAATAGGGACACGGTGGCACACGACATTTTATAATTAAACCGAATTAGGGGCGCCCCTGCGGGAGTATAACCAGTGGCTCCCTGGAGCGCCAAGGGACGCGTCTCTAACACATGGGCGGTCGCAATGTGTGTTCTACCTCACTTTTAAAGAGGTTGATTAACGTACACTCAAGGCTTTCATACAATGAGCCTTGGTGCGTTTAGGCGGCAGTGTGGACAAACCCGCGCCCCAAAAACGAATATGTGGGTTTGTTTGTATAAGCATTACCAAAGATTTCATTCGTTTGTCATTCAAATCTGAGAAGTTAATGCTAATACCCCTGTGGTGGTTTCTGCGAAAAAAAATTCGATTTGGTGGCGCCCTGGCAGGGTTCCATTTAGCTCCCCGTGTTTTCCCGTGAGTACTATGGTACCTTTGTTCGTTTTAATAATTGCGAAACGCTATGAATATGATGGGCTACTATAATCGCTCACTATACCGAGTGAGGCGCCTTCCTACCTAGGCCCACCTACCTACATACCTAACTCCCTGCCTATGTACCTACCTATCTACTAACCTGCCTGCGCTGCTGCCTGCCTACCTACTTTCCTACCTACCGTTATTCCTGCCAAACTGCTTTCCTTCCACCCCGCCTGTCTACCCACCACACATCCTACTTACACACACACATATCTTCGTATATATATATATATATATATATATATATATATATATATATATATATATATATATATATATATATATATATGTTAGTGTGCTCTAGGACTATGTATTTTTACATTTTTGTTGTTACGTAGAACTATTCAATATAAAGGAGTTTCCTTTTTTTTTGACGTTGTAACTGCCGCTAAAATATTCTTTTTTGTATGTGTGCATAAAATAGTGTAGGTTTATTAACAAAAGTAAATTTTAGTATGTATTTAAGTGTATATAATCATTTTCGTCAAGCCAATGTGTTCATAATCTTAAATTTAAAAACCCATGAAACTCGATAGCCAAAGATTTAGAATGAGAATAATTGCTATTTAACCAGAAACACCCATTCTAATTATTGTAATAATATTTTTTATAATAAATATACACAGAGATAGATTGCTTTCTTATATAATTAATTTAAAATGTCAACTGTATTTCATAACGAAAATTAACACAAAATACATTCGAATAGAAACTGTCAAGGGAGACTACTCTAATATTTGTAGGAATAATAGTTTTTATTTAGAGTTTTTTTATTATTAGAAGAAAAGTTAATCATGTAGGTTCTATAAAAGATTACCTTGCATTTTAAAAAAAAAGATATTCGATAGGTTTAGAATGAGAAATAGTCAAAATTATTTATTATATTCATTAGTTGTTTTTTTTTAATAATATAGTACAAAGACCTGTTTTAATTATTTTTTTAAAAATCTTATTTTAATTAATAAATTATAAATGAAGATCGAGGATCTATATTTTTAAAAAATAGTTTAACTGTCCCTAAACAATTGTATCAATCGCTGAGAAATTAAGAATTAATAATTACGTTTAACGCTTTATTAATTAAACGAGTTGAATTATTTCCGTTTTGATAAACTCTCTCTCTCTTTATAACTACTAACGCTTATCATTGAGTTTCTCGAGAGAAAAATACAGGAGAGCGGTAGTTATCATTGACTCTGTCATTGATAATTTCATTGAGTCTTTCATAGAAAATAGTGTTTGATCGGCTGCCGGACATCACGTCAGAAACTGCAGCGATATATGAAGAACTTTATACGGACTTTTGTTAAAAATAATATGTTAGATGTTAGATGCCTAATTTATTTTTTTTTTGCGGGGTGGCCCATTTTTTCTAGTTCCGCCAATGGAAGAAACTCTGCTTCAAATAATGAGTAACTGAAGTTATTTATTTTATTATCAGATTCATAGCTTTTGAAACAGATAGAACTCTTATAAAT